AACGAACTATCACCAAACAGTTCCATACCGAACCAGCACAGCACCCAAATCAGCCATGGCTTCTACAGAAGCACCAATAGTCCTGCCGGGCGATATCATAGACACCTCACTGATACCAACATCGAACAAAAAGCGCCCTCTCCGTCTAGGGCCAGGCCTCCGCCATGTCCCTCCCGACACCCTCCAGTCAACAGTCGCCGGCGAGCTGATAACGGACCCCAAGAAGAACACAATGTACATAGAGTACAACTCACATAGAGTAAGCCAAATTCTCTAGCTCTTACCATCCCCTTCTCCGCTAACAGCACGCAGTACGTCCCCTCCCAAAACGACCTCGTGATCGGGCAAATTCACCACTCCTCCGGCGACCTGTACTACGTCACGCTCAACTCTTTCGCACCGCAAGCCCTCCTCCCGCACCTATCATTCGAGTCGGCGACCAAGAAGACTCGGCCCCAGCTCGACCGCGGACAGCTCATCTACGCGCGCGTGACCATGGCGAACAAGCACATGGACCCTGAGCTGGAGTGCGTGAGCCAGCAGACTGGAAAGAGCGAGGGATTGGGGCCTTTAAATAACGGGACGGTGTTTAATGTCTCTCTCGGGCTGGCGAGGAGGCTGATGCTACCTAGGCCGAGGGAGGATGGCGGCGTGGCGGTGCTGGACATGCTGGCTGAGGATGAGGGGTTGGTGTTTGAGACGGCGGTGGGGAGGAATGGGAAGGTTTGGGTTGGGAGCGAGAGTGTGCGTACCGTGGTTATTGTCGGACGGGCGTTGGCGGAGGTGGATGAGAAGGGGGCTGGGTTTGGGGTGGACCAGCAGAAGAAGTTGGTGAGGAGGTTGATGAGGGACGTCAAGGGCTGAGGGGATGAGGATTGATCAGTGATCAGTTCTCGATGAACTCGCGCGGGCGAGCTTTCGGGCTTCCTGGAGCGGAGGAGAACTCCGTCGGCCGTATTCGTGCGGCTTACATGTTTGGCTCTTTGAGCGCGTCGTCGCCTTCTCATGGCGAGGAGGCGGGACTCGCATGTCGGGCCTCTCTAGTCAACAGCTTCAGCATGGACGGGGACAAAGCATGTTGTCTGTGAGGATAGATCACTTCGCGAGTGGTTTATCAATGCAATCATATTTGCATGCTCTGCGGGTATATGTACAGAAGTCGCTATTAAGAACGCTGCAATGCTCGAGACCAAAATAAAATAATCCTGCCACGCTTGCTCCAATACGGATCCACTGGTTTTGATATGGTGAGTGGCATCCTTGGGGCCATTCTCGTGGCCGACGGCTTCCATCGTCTTATCCCAAGGCATCACAGACCCCACTCTACTGTTTCGACTGCTCTTAGCTGAAGCCTCTGCGCCCTTCGTCGCCAAATCGAGGAATCCGAGACGAGGCGGCTATAGTATGTCGACTCGACTCATCAATCTCTCAGCGGCTGCAGGGTCCGGTCAAGCAGGTCTCCCAGTCCATTGGGCTGTATTTTGGAAAAATGCCGTATCAGCCTGGGCCTGTAGATGGTCACTACGCTGTCCTGTTCCTCCCATAATCACCTCCTCACAGTATTCCACTACCGGGTCGGCGGGATTGGTGATGTTGTGTTTGTTCTGCATGTGCCTCCGCCAGTTGTCTTTTCGAGGAAAGGACTTGCCGCCCTGTCTCGAGTAGGGGCAGTTGTACTGGGTGCAGAAGTATTTCTTCGTCTTGGTATGTTTGTCGTTGATGTGTCTGTCTAAATGTGTCTTGGTTCCGAACCTCTTACCGCAGCCTGGGTGTTCGCAGAGATGTGGCCGGTCGTGGTATCGTGTGTGATGGCTACCCGATCGTTAGCAAGGTAAGCTTGCACGGCAAGTGCGCAAGGTTAGTAGAACTTACTTGAGTTTGTGGTACTGGTCGAATACCCTGTGACACTCGTCACACTTGTATAATCTTGGCGACGAGTCTGATTGTTCGCTGGGTCCTTCGTTCGACCTCGGCGAGGGCGTAGCCAGAGACGGTCCTGGTGTCAGGTGCGGATCCGAGATGTAACCGGGTGTTGTAGGGTTCGAAGGGATGGAAGATGCTGGCGGTGTATATCTCCCTGACGGCTCTATCATGTCGATATCCCCGCCATCGATGGCGATTTGCGGCGGCGGCAGGCCCTGTCCTGTATACGGTTCCTGCTTAAGTTCCGGTTCCGACTCCTCTTCCGACTCCTCTTCCGAGTCCTCTTCCATATCCACGTCTCGCTCCCTTGAGAGTTCTGGTTCGGGAGTTGCGTCTGGTGTTGGCTGGCTGGGAAAAGGTTCCATTGGTGGCGTACCTTGTGGTCGGGTAGGTGGTGAAGGCGTGGACAGCTCCACCAACGTCCTAAAATCCTTCTCTGTGGTTGTCGTAGGGTCCCATACTGCCATCGGATTGACACTATCTTCTGACTTGGCGGGCAGAGGTGGGCTTGGAATATCTGATACTATGGGTTTCAGGGGTTGCGTATCCATGCGCTTGAGTGGTCCCTCATGTCCTCGCTTCTCACGAAGAGATGGGGGCCTGAAGTCGTCGGGTTCTTCGTACACATTGTCGGCGCCGTCTTGCCCAAGCCCAAACGTCGGCCTGGAGGTTAGGGGTGAGATTTGGGAGGAAGGTCCGCCTGGAGACACAGGACTAATGGGTGTCACAGTAGACACAGAGGTGGGCGATGTAAATGTAGAACGCGGCAATGGGGCCGTAGACGGTGCTGGTATTGATATTGGCGGACCATAAGTCGCTGTTTGATGGGGCAATGGCACTGGCTCCGGCTCGGGGACATCATCGAATCCGTGATAGTATGAGTAGGCCTCACCTCGAGCATCCGTGTCGACAGGTTCAAATGTGGCTGGAGCTGATGCAACCGTAGGTAGATCGTCGCTTGGAGCTAGTGGTGGTGACCTTATACTGCCGGTCGACATGGTGCTATCCCGCCGAAGTGCAGCAGATGCCCTCTGGGCCAACTGCCGCACCGAGTCCGAGAGATGACTGGATCTCCTCTTATGACCAGGTTTCCCTCCTTGGCCCAGCGATTCCGGTTCGTCCGTGATGCCCTTGGATCCAAACGTGCCTTGTCGACTTGGCGCAGCGAAAGAATCACTGATACTGTGCTTCGCGAAGCTGGTTCCCGCCTCGGTGACAGTTGGTTCCCGTGACAGCATCTGAGTTGGAACGCTGTCTTGGGTCGTCTGAGTCGCCAGGGTAATCGAGCCTGTTGCCGTGCGGCCGTCTTGGAGTGCCCTGCCGGGCAATCTGGTCGCCGCGGGTAGCGAAGGTGAAATTGGCGACGGAAGTCCATAGTGAACACTGATCCCGGTAGGGTAGAGAGTCGTTTGTGGCTTCTCGACTGATTCAGGGTGCTGATCAGTGCTCTCTTGTCCGTCCCCGGCTGCGTAGGTCTTTGGCGGGGGTTGCGCCGGGGTCGAATGCGATAGGCGCCTGAGGGCATCGCCAAAGTGAGAGCGCGAAAGGAAATCAGGCTGCCCGAACTCCTCAATAGCGGCATCATCTCCATGCTGTCGGCGGAAGGCTCTCAGACGGCGCGCCCGCAGGATGAACGGCAAGGCGCAGAGGAAGATGAGCGCTGCGCCAATGACTGATCCAATTGTCGCTCCGACGATGGCGCCCGTCGATATCGAAGTTGAGCGCGGAACCAGCGCTATCCGGGAGGACAGCAGCGCCGCCATTTTCAGTCGCTGACGCCAACCGCACGACGGGTTGCAAGGTGATAAGCAAGACGTCAGGATCGGAGACAAAATGAAATGGCAAAGAATAGCGGCCCTCGTACAGAAACGATGCCGATTGGATGCAAGCGAGGCTGTGCCAGGGCCGCGACTAGCTCAACGGCGGAGACTGCGGGCATGAGCGGCCAAGCCCGACTAAGGTACTAATTGCAGGGTCCAATGCCTCAGAGTTGCCGCTGTCTGTCTGGTGTTTGCTCACTTACAACTACCTATGGCATCGCGATAGGATTGAGCAGGAAAGGAAATCCTCGGACCTTCTGATCACACCATGTCGATGATGGGATGAGTAAGGCAGTCGACTTCACATGAGTGAGGGGAGAACAGACGGTGAATCGCACGATGTGAAATGTCAGCAGCGACCCGAGTCTTAAATGAAGACGTTCAGCCTCACTAGAACCCTGGAGGCCCCCAAGACACACACACTGTGGGGTTTCTCCAACCTGGTGACATTTTTGACAACCACAGGCGCGCGGTGGCGGGGTGCCGGCGACGGGATGTTTCAGGGACCACTTAACGCGCTTATCCTGGTCTGTGATCGTCTTCTGGCTGCTGCTCAATACCTAAACTTGTGGTTACGATAAATAACAATCGTGGACAATGACAGTACCGATATACACACCCAGTAGACGCCAGAAGGCCAGAACGGTCACTGGAGTCGTGGGTGTTCATCAGTCTTGTCCAATTGAGTCGCCCTCTGGCCACAGTCGCAGTTAGAAAAGAGGACGTTGGTTCCAGCAGTTCATTGCGCGTGAGAGAAGTCCTTGGAGAGTTGAGAAGCAGTGGCCAAGACACAATGCTGCAGTCCAAGCGGTGCTGCCAGCTCCTGATACACGCTTCGACCTCTTCAGCGGCCGTACATGGTAAACTTGCTGCAACTGCGCCCCGCGAGTGCTGCCGACATCTTGTGGCACCCGACAGATCTCGATGACGACTGACACTTCAACAAGGATATCGGGGATGATGCAGCTGCCAGCTTTACAGCACCTTGGCTTCAGAAGGAGGCGAGAGGACTTCGTTCCTTCCAACCTGGCATTTCAACTCGTGACTAGCCCAAATGGAACTGAAACAGCTAATGGAGGGTAGCACTGGACATCCTGTCCTCTCACCTTCAACGTTCTCCAACTCCCGTCAATGTCGTCCAAAGCCTTAGCATCGCGCAACATCACCCGACGGTCCCAGGCCAGAAGGGATCCACTCAACGGCCATGCCACATAATCACCGCCAACGCCTCGCTAAAACATCGAAGGATCAACTTCAGCCCGCTTAGCTCAGTGGTAGAGCGCATCACTAGTATAGCCTCCTTACAACGGGAAGTGATGATGAGGTCGCCAGTTCAATTCTGGTAGCGGGCATAAGATAATTACCGAAGCAGCATTCTTTTTTGTACCTCCTCCTCAGTCTGCCCTTTTTTCTGCCATTTTACTCGTCCTCAATACACCATGCCTCGGCTTTTTTGGATGGCGCAGCTCTGGCCTTGCAACGTCGTTGATGTAGCCAACTGTCATAGACTGTCCGTCTTCATGAACTTTTTATTCACCACAATAGTTTTCGTCCGATGGGTATAGTAAACACGGGCAAAAAGCCACTCAAAACGCCGAACCCCAACCTCATTCCGTAGAGATAACAAGAGCAAGCACCGAGATCCCGGGAATAACAATGAAGAGAAAGATACTCAAGAAGCAAAAGAGCAACCCCTGGCGGCCGACCAGAGGCAAGACCTGAAAAGCTAAAGCAATACAACAGCACCGACAAGCACACCGACAAGTCCCATTAGACTCCCTCCCACACTTCCCCGGCCGACCACACCCCCAGCACTAGAGGTACTCGCCGTCCGCGGCCCGCTGTCGTTCTTCCCGCCCACGTTGACGAGCGCAGTCGTCTGCGGCGGCGGGGTAGTCAGCACCGGGACGGCGACGGCCACTCCGGCAATGGTGGCGTTCACCGGCGCCGTGATGTTGGCCAGCTGCTCGGGCGCGATGGATGTCACCACCGGGCTCGTTAGCGGTGGGAGGGTGATGACGCCGGCGGTGTAGAATGCTACTGGTGCGACGGTCGTTGATGGGACGGCGGTGTTGGTGGCGTTGAGGGAGGATGGACAGAGGGTTGCTGTTGCGGGGTGGATATCGGTGACGACGACCACTTGGCTGAGGGAGACGGGGCAGTTGATGGCTGAAACAAGGCAGCTGGTCAGGGAGAATGTCTTGGTGACGTTGTGCACTGCCGTTACGAGTGATGCGGTGGGACAGGCCGCGAGGGCAGGAGGTTTGCTGGTAGTCGTCGTGGGGGCGACGGTGTCGATGTCGGTCCGGGCGTCGAGACAAGTCGTTGTCCCCGCCGAGAGAAAGACGGTCGACACATCCGGGCCGTGCTCGAACTCGTGACCGGCGATCTCCCCGCCGACCACGGCTTCGGCGGCGGCGTTGCTGTCCACGTCGATGAAGAGGGCTTGTTTGCACGAGCCGTCTGCGCCGTCGGAGAACACGGTGCCAAAGGTCAGCTCGGCTAGCGTCAGGGATGCGCTGACAGTGGCGGCGAAGTCGAGGTTCTGGGTGATGGGCGTCTTCTGCAGCCCGATGCCGGCTTCGGCTCTGAGGACGATGGCGGCCGTGATGTTGGCTGAGGCGCGGCTGACTTGGATGGGCAGGACCGCGAAGTTGATTTCGGGACTGAGAAAAGTCAAGGTCAGAGTAGGGAAGGGGTAGGAGGATTGTCAGGTATGTCATACACGAGATCCAGGCCTGCTGATACATTGAAGTTGCCCGCCAGGATATCTTCCTCGTCTGGCAGGTCGATAAAGAGGCCAATACGTTCCTGATCCGGGATTCCGATCTGGAAACCACCGGTCGCCTTGACGTCGCCGGTGAATGACAGGACGAGATCGATGCCAATGCCGACCGTGGCGTTGAAGATCTGCATGACCTACGAACAGTTAGTGGTTCGTGTGCCACAGGACATGGCAGTCAAGTGCCTTACATTCTGGCCTGCTGGCTTCTTTCCGAAGAACCTTCCCAAGCCAATGGTGAAGGTGCCCTGTTGAGCGGCAAAGACCCCGAAGTCCATATGCACACCGACGTTGTTGAAGGTCAAGCTCATGTTGAGGCCGTCATCGTCGTTGAAGTCTGCCAAGATGCTGCCGAATGTCCGGCAGTCGTTGCACTCGACAGAGAGGGAGAAGCTCTCTGTGGCCGATGCTTTAATGGGGACTGGACCTCCTATCGGAATGTAGCCTGTGCCACCGGTCCAGTTTCTGGTTGTTCATGTCAGTCTTGATAGTGACACCGGTCTGGGGCAGTCTAACGCTGAGAACAGCGGCTGGTCTTGAACCTGCCAACCGATGTCAAAGGTCTTGTTGTGGTCGCTCCGTCCCTCGATACCCCGTGGACTTAGACGAGCAAGGTCTGTTGGCGAGCGTGGCCCGTACGACACTCGGACGCCATGGGAGGGTAAGGCTGAGGCACAGGCGAGGCCGGCCAGAAGTAGTGCTGCGAGCATCACAGATGGCATTGTGAGCAGTCAGTTATCTTTGTGGATGATATCCCGTGCAAACGATCGACGGTGATACTCGTGATGGCGATATGGATAGCCCATGATCAGCACTCGTGTGTTGCGCAGGCCGTGGATATATACTTGCACCCGACCACCATGGGGTCCAAGGGGAATACATGTCTCTGGTTGAAGAACACTGCGACGGCTGCTGATATCGACAACTAGGTTCAAGATCCCGTTGGAACGGATGACACGCGTAGCATAGCCCCTTGCGCTGTACCACGCATACAACACCTCGAGTGTATGTATCCGCGCATTGTTGCTATGTGCAGTCTATCCCAGGGAGACGCTGTACTGGGAACTTACATGTAATGTTTACGTACCTTAGGCAGCTACGCATAGCTGACAGGCGGGCTTTCCGCCCCCTGCTCACACAGCTGAGAAAACCGCATTTCAGGAGCTTCTGGCCAAGGCGTCTAATTCCTCGTGAGCTATCCTCGAAGCATGTCTGAGCTGTCGAAGCTCTTTTGAGGAGTGCATGATCTGAGGGAAAGCTGGTAGGGGTTTCTCCAAGACAGGGGGGCGTATCACAGGGTTGAGATTCCCGCGGCCCCCAACTTCTAGGGGTATCCCCCAACGCTCGCCGGGACAGTGCTCGATCCAACGAGCTTTGCAGATATGTATCAGCCTCATAGAGCACGTACATATGGTCGACGATATGCAAGGTAGGGTTGTTGTCACACTTGACTGTTTAAGAAGCTGTTCTGTAACCAACTGCTGAAAGTTCCACGCAGGCTCACCAAGAAGCTCAGTCGTCGCTCGAACCAAGAAGATATGTCACTTGAAGCAGCATCTTGCTGAAAGCGAGGAAATCTCCATCTGACACTTGAAATAGCTCTGGAGATTTTAGGTAAGTAACGAACTCGGGAAAGGATGTCATGGGGTTCAAGCTACAGAAGCCATCACAGCAGTGAGGCTGAAGTTGCCGGCGGGGGAGGCGTGCACTACATGCCGGGAGAGGCTGTGATGGCGCTGACCCAAAATAACATCCTGCAGCTGTGCAGCCATGAGACCCAGTCAGCGTTACCAGCACTTGCCGGCCATCGTAATGGTGCCTTTCGATCCGTGCCTCCTCCCTGCATTGGGGGTTTCTGCCGGAGGATTCCGTGGTGAAGGCCTCGTAGAAGACAGCCTAGATAGCCACCACAAGGGGCCATGATACAGACAAGGATTTCGGATTCGAAGAACTCCAACAAATGCGACATCTGGTACTCGTCAGTCGAGTCGGGCAACGTTTGGCGGGAAGTGTGCGTGCGATGGTCGTGCTACAGGCTGCGCCCCTAAGAGCACAACCTTGTTCGCCAGCAAGCAAACTTGCCATATGCGGTGATCCTGCCACTTCAGACCAACAATTTTCGAAAGAGCCAGGCCTGCGCAATATATGCATAACCACTGATCAGACCCAGCGCAGTGGAAAGCATTTGCTATTCCTGGCTGTGGGGTTTCCATCTCGGATCACTTTTGCTGCTTGGCAACGGACGGCAGTGTCAAAAGAGACCAACAACAAGTTACCATTCATGCCTGGAATCTGGATGCTGCTCTTGAGGCATCGGGCTTTCGTCTACCATCTTGGTCGACGAAGTATTGATGAAGAGACACTTCAGAGCAAAGTCAAGTTTATTCGGCTCCACTGCGACGAGGCCGCCCTACCTACGGAAAGACCTGCCCATACTCCTTACTCTGTGTAGCCCAAGTCATCATTCGCCTCCATGTCGCCCAGCTCACTCCTCCTTCCGTCCAATGGCCTTCGGCTTTCCCACCCAGTCAAAGCGGCCCAGTTTGTTCAGTCGACTGTTCTCTTCTGGATGATCAACTCCCCTCGAGCCCTCCGAGGTGGAATAAAACGTGCCACTGAGGGATGTATGGGGAAATCCAAAATCGAACTGGTAAGATGACTCGATCTCGTTGACTTCGTCTTCGGAAAGCGTAATACCAATGCCAGCGACAACCGAGTCGATGTCTTCGACCGTGCGAGCGTCAATGGCAGGGAAGACATAGGGTGCTTTCCCCAAGATGTAGGCAAGCGCGACTTGTTGTAGCGTGACGGCCTTCAGCTTAGCGATCCTTTGCAGTGCCTCTGAAAGGACGGTATCGTGCTTCATGGATGGTCCAAGATAACCGCGATAGTTGCTCGTCTCTTCTCGCTCTTTCCGAGTCTGGAAGCGACCACGATTAAGGACATGACAGGCGCAGATGGCCATACCCTCATCGCGGCACATCGGGAGGATATCGCGCTCAATGTCTCGCAGACCCGCATGCCACTGTCCGTGATACACAGAGAACTGTCGCAACCCTTTCTGTCGGGCATACTCGTTAGCCTTGGCGACGACCCATGCTGGCGTGTCGCTGATACCCAGGTAGAGCACTTTGCCCGCTGTGACCAGGTCGTTCAGGCCGTGCATAAGTTCCGGAATGCTTGTTGTATGATCCCACCAGGCCACATAATAGAGATCGATGTACGTCGTCTGAAGTCTAGAGAGCGTTGATTCAAACGCAACTTTCATGGACTTGACGTTGTTGCCACCATAGTTGGACTGCAACCGGTGTTTGTCATGCAGATTCCAAGAGCTGGTGTACTTCGTCGCGAGCACAATGTCGTCGCGGTTCTTGTGCGTGGCCATCCAATCACCTAACCATTCTTCCGATCGTCCCTGCCCCCACGCACTGCCCGCTTCGATGAAATTCCCGCCTTTGCTGTAGAAGCTGTCGAGAATAACGAATGCATCCGATTTGTTGGGGAGAGACTTGCTACCAAACAGCCAAGTCATGAAGCAGAGCGGTGAAACCCTCACGGCCGCGGTTGGTG